AAACTGTGTCTGACCTGTACCGTAGACTCCTTGTCATCTTTGTGATAGGTCAAAGTACTCCCTCTGAGTACAAAGTAGCGCAGCTGCCAGTTCTTGACCAAGGACCTCTGTTTCTTCAGCCATCCAGCCTTCACTGGCTTCTCCATGGACCTGGAGAAGCGTGGTGGTCCCTGGGTGGTGCTGCCTTCTCCAGGCATCACACTCTTGGAGCGTGCTAATAGAAAAATACAACAAGACAGCAGTTGGGCAAAAAATATTTCAAAAACAACCAGCCCACTGAAATCATGCAATGTTACAATCTGAGCTGATGAAACACAAACACAGGTCGCTCAGCTGCAGAGAGAGAGAGCACTTCCTGCTTTACATGCATGTGTGTGTATCACTGTTGGCAGACCTGCTCGCTGTATATTTTTATACTCAGACAGAATGGAAACAGCAGGTCAAAGCATACTGGTTTCCTGTGGTCCCTGTATTAAATCAGTTATTTTTGTGGGACCAAAATGTAACACAATGAATGCTGAACAATAGCCCTGAAAGGATATTGCATAGACTGGAAACATAACACTTTAAATTTGGCCAGAAATTGCTAATATGCCCAACGCCACTTTAGCGCTCATCATTCTTAACACATTAACAACTAAATGTAAATAAGCCACAAGATGAAGATACATTTGCAGCACATATATTTTTGGGATTTCTTCGGTCAGTTCATGTTGTCGTTAGGCCTTTCTGCAGTGACTGTTAAAGGCTGCGATCATGAAAGAACTCAGGCAGACAAGTACGTGACCAGAGAACACAACATGACACAGATGTAAATAAACAAATAAGGGAGGCACAGTGGCACAGATAGAGGAACAGAGATAAGGCCTCAGTTGTTCAGTGGTTCCTTAATTCATCGTGTCTTTCTCAACCAAAGGGTCAAGGATAACATCTTTTAATAACAGAAGAAGAAGAACTACGGTCTCAAAAACAGGAAGCTCTGACATAATTCAACACAGGACTGACCACGCTTTGAAGACCTCCACCTCTGAAGCTTCAGGGTTCTTTGATCTAACTCTGTGCTTCCTGGGTAAGTGCTGTGAAAAGTTTGAAAACACTTCTGAGGAAATACAAAATGAACGCACTAGAAGTGACACACCACACCCTAGGCTGACAAACGCACACTTTATGACGTCTTGACATGTCTGTTAAAGATGCGTTTCATTAACATTTAAGACTGCTGATGACCTTTATTCATCTTCACTCCAAAATAAAACTCAACCTCTCAAGGTTTTCTTCCACCTCCTTCCTACTCTCACCAAAGAGGAGATGACAATGTGACCTGCAAACATCATGGTCCATGGATCATCAAAAGGGACTCAAAGCTGAACCCTGATGCTTCCCCACCCCCGACCTGGAACCCATCCGTCACTCCGACAACACACGTTGATAATGTTTCGCAGTCCTTGTACATGTCCTGCACAACCCTAACATATTTATCTGCCACTCCTGACTTACATACAGTAACATACAGTACCACAGTTCCTCCCCAGGCAGCCTATCATATCTCTATATCCACAAAGACACTTCTTCTGACCTTTTCTAAACTCTACCACCAGCCCTCTCAGAGCAAAAACTGCATCTGTAGTTGCTAACTGATTTTAACCTCTTACCCACTGTATGACCAATCAAAATTATGTCTTATTTTTTAATGTACAATGTTGAAGTATAATTTGTTGGGCCATACAACAATTGCATTTTTTTTTCTTTTTCAACACAATGCAAAAAAAGATGCAGCAGATTTAACTTATTGTGTCTATTGTTGCATTTGCATCATGATGTACACACCCACAGACACTACAGACATAGGTAAAGTTACAGTCAGCAACAACATCAAGGCTGTGGGAGCTCAGCTCTTGCATCAATTTCCTGCGGCAGCCTGCGTCACTGAGCTTCCATTCTATATAATCTGCCTTTAAAGGTAAAAGATTGATGATGAAAGGTTGCTGCAGCTGTCAGTCAAAAAATGGTAGACGATGGGTGAGGAACATAGAGTTTTTTTTTCAATCATGATGATTGAAAAAAAAATCAATCATCATGATTGATTTTTTTTTCTTTTTTTTTTTTTGGTAACCTACGTACTTAGTGCGAGAGACAGTTCAGGGTTTTAAATGTGAAACTCCGCCATAGCAAAGGTAGTGCAGTACTTTATTGTACTACAGTGAGTGATGTGTGTAACAGTGAGTCTAAAAACCAGCCAGTGTGGTCAGAAATCACTGATCTGCTCATAACCGTCCCTTAAACCAAAGACAAATGAGGTGACATTCACTGTTTCCTACATATTCAGTGTGTGCACACTGTTTAATAAATGTAATAAATAATAAATAAATTCAGAAATAAATTAACAGAGAGGGTACACTAAATGTATACATAATAAATAATAAAATAAAATGACTGCTTAAGTAAGTCATAAAAATATAAATGTATGATAAATAGAAAGATATTTGGTAGAGGGTTTTTACATGTGTTCTGCTGGTAATGTCAATGGGATATAAACCAAATAGAGCTCTGAGATCTACACTTTCTTTTCCACTCAGACAAGTTAGTGGAGCCCTGGGTTTAAAATAAGCAGCAGTTAGACTTCATGCTGCACACAAGCGGAACAAACTGAGACCACAACTGAGGTCAACTCCAAACATGAAACTTATTCATCCTGGTTAAAAATCATTTTACCTTTTTGCGTGTGTCTATTGTGCAATCATTTCTTCTTTCCTTCTATTCTTTATTTATGTGTTTGTTTTGATTTTTAATTAATTAATTTCTCTTTCCAATACAATTGGTGTTTGTTCATGTAGAGAACATTGAATTACCTTCTGCATGAAATGCCTTGCCTTTGTGAAATGTCTAGAAAATTCAGAAAATTAGCTAAATATAGCTGTAGAGTTAGCAAAACAGCAACAGGTTAGAAATTAGGTCAGAAATAGCTTGAAGTACATGAAAAACATCTTTAAAAAAAACAGAACTCTAAATAACAGATTATTATTGGTTTGAAATTACTGACAAAAATCTGACTAAAGGCTCGTCAAATAGAGAGGAATAGATCACATTTAACAAAAGATAGTGGGAACTATATGTTACTAAATTATAAATATGCTATGTGCAAAAGTAGTTGAGTCAGCGAAAGCAAAGAACATAGTGAAATAAAGATACAGTAGTTAACAAATTTGACCTGAGTTAGTTCTCTGAAATGACACTGTACCAAATTTTAACAACAAAACCAACCCTTGAAACATATACTGTATAGCAGTATAGCTGCTTCACTGAGTAGCATACTCTAGTTTCCAAAACAGTTATCCAAGGATACAGCAGAGACCAGTACAAAAAGCAGTGGTAAAGATCTGGTCTCTGTGTTGTGACAGAAAAGAAGAATGTTGAAGTTCACATCCCTTTAAGGTTGTAAAAGTTGAAAGCAGAGACTTGTCTCTGGGCTGAAAGTGAAGGCAGCATTCTGTCTGTGTCAGTGTGTCTCACCAATACGACTCGTCTCAGCCTTAAAGGTGCTGAAGTCCCAGTTACGAGGTAGTTTTAGAGACATGGTCCTGGACTTGTATCAGCATAGGTCAGTGGTTCATCACACACCTCGACACCTGTTGAGTACACACACACACACACACAGACACACGCACACACAAATACAACACACGCTCACACACAATCAGACATGATACACACTAACACAGACTCTAAGGTTATCGCACATCATACTTCCTACTTCCTGTGTGTCAATTTTTTCTTCTTCTTTTTTCACATCCCTCAAACGCGTCCTCTCATGTTCATGCTGTCATCATATCCAAGTTAACACTTGTTTCTTGACGATGCAGTGCACTCTGGGTATAACTCTTTATTCAGGCTGATTCACTAAAACCTCAGCAGGATACAGTATTTCTGGAGTGAAATGATTCATGTTCTGGTGTCTGTCCTATATCAGGAAATCATTTTCAGGTCCCTGCCTGGGTTGTGTCAATGTCAGACACGTTCAATGTCAATTTTCTAACATTTTGAACAACATGCATTTTAAAAACAACATCTCAATCTCTGGCCGTTTTCTCTCTATTCATTTTTTTTTTTTTTTTTTTTTTGGGGGGTGGGGAACTAAATGGTTAAAGTATTAATTTTCTTTTTTTTTTTATTTCACCACAGTGATTTATTGTCTTGTTTTTTTCTTTTACAATGGAAAATAAAAATATAAAAATCTTCAAAATAAGATACAATTTTAATGGGAAAAAGTTTACTATTAAATCGAAGCCAATACAGTGTCCTGAAAAGAACGACTTTGCAGAAGCTGCACGTTTGCATTTAAGCGTTCAACTGTATAATAGTTGTAATAGTTTTATGGTTTAAAAAATAGGGAAGAACACACAGGGGGAAGAACCAGGTCACGAACAAATCACACCACGTGACTAGTATTATTTTACATATACATATTTATATGTAAGGTATACCTTTATTTTAATCTGAAACAAAGAAAAAGCACATTTTAGCATCAAAAAAGCTCAGCTTCACTGTGGACACATGTACAACTTAACACAAACCATTTCACAATTCAATAGTAACATTTACAAAATGTAATAATTTAAGAGCACTAAACAGATTTTTCAATGGGGGGATTCTACTTGGTGTGTGGGAATTAATTTTTTTTACCTTAATACAATCCTTCCAGAGCATTCGTTTTCAAATGTTTGATTTAGGTCACAGCCTACTTCACAACACCAGTTTAGACCAAATGTTTTTAGGAAGTACATTTTACTTCCCAAAGTAATTGTACAGAACGTGACAAGTGGAGTTATCTGGTACAAAACAAAAAAAGGGAAAATATGTGTTCATAACATTCTGCCTTCTTTTGAGCAAATCCTAATTTTTAGAGTCACCGGAATGTATCGTAAAGCAGCCACAAGGGGCTCAAAAACAGGTCTGCACCAAATGTGATCCGCGTTGCGTATTGCAACCAACCACGGGTGTTATGACCCCCTCTAGTGGACATTTTTTCCAAACACCAGACAACAGAAATCGCAGTACAGAGCTTGGAAAGGAGTGACAGGAAAGTCACGTTTGAAAAGTATGACAAACGATCTAAAGTCTATCTACAGCTCCAGAAGAGAGAACGCACTCACTAGAAAGTCACAGCGTGAAAATACTTTGCTCTTCTATGTTTTAAAACTCTTTTCTGATTGGTAGCGTTTGTGGCAGTACCTGAAATGATTCCTTTCAGCAAAAAGAACATCAAATAACTTCAGTTTTCTTGAATATACAATATACCGTAGTTACTCTGAATATTTGCGTACATACTTTATCAACAAAAACGTGGGTATGAGTGGCTTTCAACACAAATTTAGTTCATGAAATTAGTAACATGATGTAACATTTAGCTGAAATAAGAATATATTTGCCTAGCCTTTTTTTAGTATTCACCTATATCTCCATAATCAAGTTGGTCTGACCCCAAAATGGGCTACACCAGTTATCTCATATGGCTCCCTTGAGTTGTGCAAAAAAAAAACTTAAAATACTTGTGATTTGTAAACTAATCTGTAAGGACTTTTTGGTTTTCTGCTATAGACAGAAATGTTTAAAAGTATTTATATTAAAATTTTTAAAAGAAAGACGTCTGTAAACTGATACCATTAGGGTCTGTCAACATGTACTTATTTTAATGCATAAACAGGGAATTGTTAATCATGTCAGCTTTAGAGAAGATAGCAAAGATAGCCGTAGCATAATTTAGCAGTAGTTTTATTGCTGTTGTACTATTCCAGCACCCTGTTGTCTTTCTTAGTAATTTGTGGAAGTTACAAAGATTATTTCAAGATTACACAGTGATGTGATTAACACTGGCGAGAGACACCATTTATTACTGCTATGAAACCAGAAAGTTAGCTTTTAGCAAAACCAGAGAAGGAAGTGGTAGTGCGACGACACTTCACTGAGTGACACACACACTGGTGCAGGAGTGTAGGATGTTTCCTGTGTATGTCATGGGCTTTGCCTAACACAACGTGTCAGTGTTCTCCTATGTCATGTACAGTAAATACAGGAGGTTAAGAAGGACTAACATTAGCATTAGTGGCTCAGTATACACGCAGTCTAAGAGAAATCGGACATTATTATCATCACTACCTTGCACCGCATTTTACATCTGGGACACAACCCACCATTTGCCAAAGACTCTATTGTATAATAACGACATAGACAATTAATAAAAGTTACGTCCCTGCTAAGGAAGACTATAGCAGCTGATGTTGCTGATTCAAGTCATAAAACATTTAGTCACACTGCAGTGCGTCACACTTACACATTACTTCACTGGCAACTGTAAATACAGAATCTCTATAGCTGAACAAACAAAGTGTTGTTTGACAGGTGACGAACTTAATGCATGGATATGATTGGATGCTGAAAGTTTATAGCTTGTAATCTTGTAAATTATTTAGTTATTTAAAACATATTAGCCCATGACTGTAGTCTTGGAGTCATGTATTATTTGAGGAAAGTTAAATGGATGGCAGTTTAGTATTTTGGCAGTTCAGTGCTGAGCTTGCTTTAAATTGAGAGACAGGGACAGCTAAGAATGAATCCATCCAATGAACCCATTCATTCTTAAGCAACGTCCAAATTATTGTCCACTGACTACAGATGAATGTTCACATGTCTTATTTCACACCAAAAAAGAATTAGTTCCCATAAACATTTAATTTAAACTTTGCAACTGCTTTGATGAAATAGTAACTTTTAACAAATGTTAAGACATGGTAGTGCATGAGCAAATCAGGTCGTCAAGGTGACGGTACACAACCAGCAGTCACGCATCAAGAGGTCTTGACCTACAGAACTAAAATGGATTTGGGTGTCAGAGTATTTCAGAAGTTGATACACTGTGAAACAAAAAACAAAAAACAAAAACGTGGCTATAGAATTAATACCAGATGACTGATTAATTCAACTGCATCAAACACTTTCACTATCTTTTGCCATGTTTCATTTTTTTTCTACAAAGAACAAACCCAATAGGGTCAAATAAAACCAGAATAAAACATGACATTAATCTGTCCAACAGCCTCTTGTGATTTGTTACAGCAGCTTAGCTTTTTTAGAACTCAAAATACAAAGTAACAAAATACTGTTGTTTAGCAGAATATGAGTGGGGAAAATGTCAATTTCTCAAGAATTTGAATTGTTTTAAATAAACTTTAAGTAAATAACTGTAGGTAAATGTATGACCAAATCACTACCAAAATGGCACGACTCCGTAGGCTGCATGTAGACACTAAAGTCCATTTTCCACAGACTACAGCCAACAGACTTTACCTAGTGTTTCAGACTTTGTGAAAAACTTTCACTGATATTTAGTCGTTCAGGGACATGAAAACAATTTGGCAGTGAACATGAGGATGAAAAATGTCAAATGGTAGCAAACACTGGGAAATGAAGACATATTCACCAACACACCGGCATACACACACCTGTAAATGCACAGCAAAAAATCCTACACAGACGGTACTTGAGAGAACATAGCAAATATAAAAACATCTATATATAATATTTATATATATAAATAGAAACAATCACAATAAAGAAAATTAAAAGTTTGTGTGAAGATGCAGCTGGAGTAACAGTACAGTGAGCAACTGGGATGAGGGCAGTGCATTAAAATCAAAGGAAAACAAATGTACAGTAAAATATAAACACACATTATGAGTATGGTTGTATAGAGAACAAACCAGTGTATCTGTAGAGAATGTACAGCCCACTGACAGTTTCTCCCAGTGTGAGTAGATACAAATTTGTAGGACAGGTATGATGGTACAATAATCTAACCTGAAAACCCAGCGTCCGAAACATGAGACTGAAACAAAACAGAAGCACAGATGATTGGTAGGTGAAATGGAATGATCCAAGGCTGTTTCTTTTTTCTTTCTTTTTTTTCTCTTGCTCACACAAATTACTGCCCGCCCCCGGGATCTTCTAAAGGATTTACAGACTCCTTGGCAGGGTGTGAGTTTGAGGCTGACCTAGGCAACAACATCATCCAGAGCTGGAAGCAGGCCCTTCTCCATCAGGTGGGCCTTCAGTGAGTTAAATATGTGGAGCTGTTGATCAGGACGCAGGGCCAGGAGCTGTTGGATCACCTTTGCAGGGTTGGGGCCCCTGATAAAAGACAATGAGATGATCAGAAAAAAAACCCTACAGTATATTTAAAGCTACACACTAACTAACTGATGGTTTAGAAATGTCCATACCATCAGGATATGACATAATTCGTTGACCCCCTGTCTCACTAAATTTTTAATATGAACTTCTGTGGTTTTAAAGTAAATCAAATCCATGCCAACTCCCTATCATTCAAGCAAAGCTGCAGCTAAATCAATATCACGTTAAAGTGAAACTTCAGAGAATCAAATTTAAACAATTCCAATTTCAATTGGTTTGTCATGTGTTTACCGGATGAAACTGGCAATGTAGACATTCACAAACGTTGCCATAAGGTATTGGCAGTCAAATCTGTCCATGATGCCACCATGACCTGGGATAGTGTTGGCAAAATCCTGTAAAAAAACAACACAAAGTACACACATGATTTAGTCAAATGTGCATTAGAAACAAACAATTAAAAAAAGTACTTCATTATCATATTTATGCTGGATGAAGGTTGATAACTGCATAAAAAAATTCTGTACTTTGCCCCAGCGAGGGACTGAAGTATTTGCCATTAAACTGAAAATAAACACTGTGAATAGAGTATTTAGAAATATTCAAACTTAGGAATGCACTCCCTTCAACTGTACCTTAATCTTGAAAGCTCTCTTGAAGCCACTGGCAAAGAAGCCACCAAAGGGGCCGACAATAGAGGCAAAGCTAGAGAGAGCTATGCTGTGGATCTGGAATGGGTAGAGACGCACCGTGGTCTGTGGAGGAAAGATGGAAATGTTAGAGATAACCTGATCTCCTTCCCTTTATATTGTGATAACCAGTTTACTCTGTGTGCATAAAAGCACTCTGCTGCTGTCACGTGATTGGCTGATTAGATATTCAAGACCCCAAAGGACAGTTACCCATCCAGTGACAGACTCCATGATGCTGGGCAGAGCATATTCCTGGAGCTGGAAGAGCTCAGATGGCTCACAGTCCACCTGGAAACTGTTGGAGTCATTGTTGAACTCCACAGGACAAACAAAGTAGCGGTAGCTGGCCATGAAATAGGAGAGCTGCAAGCAAAAGCTACAGTTATTCACTCACAGCTACAGGGTCTTTTGCTGTTTCAAAACATCTAAGATCTTATCTTACCAAGATGCCAAACACAATAGTGGCGAAGAATCCTCCAATGAAACCCTCCCATGTCTTTTTAGGGGACAACTGAAGGGGACAAAGCAGAAGACACAATGTAAATACATCACTAAGTGTGCGTGAACAGAGCTGAAACATTTACACTAGAGTATAGCTCCCGGAAAAGGTCAGGCCTGAGAGATCTGCAGTCACCGTTAATCTGACATAGATTTGACACATTCTTTGTCATCCAAAAGAAACATCATTAAATACAGCAACACAATAGAGCAGGGGTGAGCTTGTTTGGATCTGGAGACTTAACTGCACTTTCGCTTCTATAGAGAGGATTTAGGGAAACTGTGAGTTTGACGGTCTGGGGAAGCAGCAGTTTGTTTTTATTGCCCTTTCTAACTCAACTGAACAGGTGGGAAGCAACATCGGGCACACAACACATGGTTAAATCTGGTCCCCTGTTATTATTCTGTTATTTCAAAACGACAAATAACAGCAACTGAATGTCTAACTATAAGGATGTGTTAATATTCACACTGCCCTCAGTCAGTACAAACATACCTTGATGAGAGGGGTTCGACCGAAGAAGAAGCCAAACATGTAGGCCATGATGTCATTACAGATAACACAGGAAATAGGCACAATGAACCTGTTAACAAAGGGGTTTCACATTATTTGCTATAAAATTGACAGGAAATGAACTTCATGACACAAAGTGTGAGAAATTTAGAAGGTGAGAAAGAGAGAAAAAAAGAGAGAGAGGGAGAGAGAGAAAACAACAGAGGAGGTCACTCACCAGATCATGCCTTCAAAAAGGTTGTGAATGATGAGGTGAGACTGAGTCACAACAATCAGCAGAGTCACATGTGTCCATCCAAACTATTAAGACAATCAATCAATCAATTTTTATTTACAGAGCGCATTTCATGCACAAAGCAAACCTAATGTGCTTTACAGTGGTTCAAACAGTTAAATATAAAAAGAAAAAAAAATGACAAACACCCCCTGCCCTTACAGACCCTCGCATCGGCTGAACAACTCCCAAGAAAAACCCTTTATAGGGTAAAAAAAGAGGAAGAAACCTCATGGTGAGAGACAGAGGAGGGGATCCTCACCCAGGACGGGCAGGCGGGGAGTAGGAAAAACAATCTACAAACATGTTGTAAATTGTTTTGCTACAATCATTTTTTTTCATTAACAGTGTTGTTTTGTAAGGGTCTTCCCAGATGTCATTTACTAAAGGGTATGTTAATTCGGAGAACTTCATCAGTCAAGCAGCAGCTCACCATGTAAAACTGGAGCCGATAGTGTTTCTTCACCAGACTGAGCACAAACATACAGAAACCTGCAACAAGAAAGCAGAAACGCTGAAATGAAACAGATACCATATATGGACCTGGGAGCTGCAGGGTCTGTGAGCAGGAGAAGGATTCATTATTTCCATATCCAGGTCATCTTTGGTCAAACAGACTAAATTTAACCTGACCTAATTTTAAACTAAGCTCAGTGTTGGAGGAATCTCTGTCATGGAATGTAACCGAGTAAAAATGAAACCTGAGGAGCCACATCTGGGGAATGAAACATACCACCACCCGTGTTTTCATACAGACTTTGGGTGCATTTTAAGGTTTGAGATGTCAGAGGTTGTGCCAATCAGTTTAACCTTGATGCTAATTGTCAGGAGACAGAGAGAGACACTTCCTTCCTTCACCACATCCTGTTTGCTTCAGTTAGCAGCTACAGCAGTGCTCAACCACTAACAGACAACCTGCAGCACAGGAAGTGGGACATCTCCTCAGTTTTCATTGTTCCAGAAATAACTACTACTATTTTGTTCTGTTCAGACATATAAGATCACATTTAACAATTATTATATTCACAAAAACATTCATTCATTCATTCAATAGGTCAGTCATTATTTTTTCTTCAAAGTACGGTTGAAGGAAAAATCCCTCAGAGAATCTGCAGTAAAAATAAGAAAAGAAGATGGGAACTGTCTCCATGACTATAAATTATTATTATTGTGTCTTTAAGTCTCTATCCTTGTGTAGCAAAAACTAAAAATGGGGATTACAGCTTTTTTCACTATCACAACTGGTTCAGTAATACAGTGCAGTAGGTGCAGCTTTTTTATCCTGCGGGATATTGCTTATATACTTTATTTGGTGGAACATGCTCTTGAAAAAAACAATGTCAAATGAATTTACACTGGATTTGCCGAAACACTGCCTTTTGTTACAGACCAGAGAAATGACTCTGCAGTGAGACCAAATGTCAGTGCCCAACAATTGTTTGTGGGTTTGTATTAGACACACAATATCATTAAGGCATGTATCATCTTTTCATATAAATAAAGTGGAATCATTCTATTTTGCTACGGACGGACAAAGATCTTGATTAGATAACAACAACAATATTAATAAAGATATTATAAACAATCAATGCATCGGGCAGAGTGTCTTCTCTTATCTAATCGTGTGTGTACCTGTGAGATAGAGGGCAAAGGAAATGAAGCGGTGGTATTTGCTCAGGATGCGAAGCGGCTCCTCTCTTTGCACCAGTGTAAAGAAGTAATCTGTCACAGTCTCTCCATAGAAGAAGTAGTTGACACACAACAGAAAGTACCTATAAGGATAACAAGATTGAGAACAAGTCCATATACTTGACAAAAAATAATGACAGCAGCTTAAAAAATAGGCAACTACATTTGGTGGGACAGAAAATTAAACAGAAATTACTGCCCAAGACAAAGTATTTAGACAAACCTGGTCCCTCAATGTAAGAAGAAATAACAAGGACATCTGAAAGTACAGAATAGCTAGTGTGCCGCAGGGGTGACTGGGTGGTGAAGGTGGGAGGACTGTCAGACTTTTCAACTCCTACAACATTACTACTTAACAGATTTGCCCACCTTAAAGGAAATACAACATTATCTAATGTTTGTATTGGTTTTGTAACTGTCAAATGGTAACATGTGCATTTTATAGCATTCTGGTAATCTCATTAGCAGCATAGTAAAAGCCTCTGGACGTGTACCGACAGGCCAGGGCTCCTATCCAGGCAATTTTTAATGTTTCTCTTCAGCTGCCGTTGTTTCTAGACAGAGGACTGCACAGGTAGAACACAACCGAGCAAACAAAGGTATTATGCAACCAGAAAATATTGCCACATCTTCCATTAAACTTTCTGCAGAGCATTTTAGGAGCATTAAACTACCAACTGTGTTTCAGTGTATGGATGGTGCTCTTTGTGTTACATTCATTCTCCATTTATACATCTATATTATGTTTGTTTTTTCATTTGGAATTATTATATGTCCACATTTTCTATTCCTTTAAACATTTCTCACTCTGTGCATTTAGACAACAATTCAGTCCATAAACTGTCTTAGAAACAACTTGAACCTCCCTGACCTGAACTGCACAGGTTGGCATGTCTGTAGACAAACGACAACGTACTGGATATGCTGACCTAAAAATTTGTAGTCTACTCAAGATTTTAGAAAACAAACCTTAGGAAGTCTGCAACAAATAAAAGATGAGACAAACAATAACACAATCAAACAGAGACAATCTTTTACATTTATAAGTTCTGTGAAACATGTAGTTGTGATTATCTGCACAAGTTGAACATGCATCCTCACCAGCTTAACGTTCTGAACCATGGCAGGTGGTAGGAGTGGTAAACACTGTAGCCAATAGTAATGATTTCCTGGAAGCATTTGATCTGCACACAGAGGACCTGCAGAGAGAAAACAGAAGAATACAGTTTGATTATTTACTTCACAGCATTAAACACACTACAGTGAGGAAAACTGAACCAGTCACAAGTACAAGGAGCATGTGACTAAAGGAAATCATTTTTTAAACTCAATAATTGTATTCCATCCATCCATCCATCCATCATCAACCGCTTATCCGGGGCCGGGTCGCGGGGGCAACAGTCTGAGCAGGGACACCCAGACTTCCCTCTCCACAGACACTTCCTCCAGCTCTTCTGGGGGGAACCCAAGGCGTTCCCAGGCCAGCCGAGCGACGTAGTCGCTCCAGCGTGTCCTAGGTCTTCCCCTAGGT